TTTGCTTTGTCCATGTCTCTCCTCCTTTCGCAAAGCTTTCCAATTTGGACAGGGCACCCTATTGTTTTATGGCCAAATGCCAATGGTTGTGGACCCCCCCACATCCCTCTTACTATCAAAACACTATCAAAAAGAAATATTGTTATAAGTTTTTTGTTTTCTTGTTTTAATGGTCAGAAACTAGTTTATATATATTTTGATTAATTTTTTTTCTGATTTAATTAAAGATAGATCATTCACGCTAAGACTAAAATATTTAAAAAGGATATCTCTCATAATCTAAATATAAAAAAATTAACATGATATTGATGTTAAAGATTGAGCCCCCAAAGATCAAAATTATCCCATGAAGTATTTTCACTCTCCTAAGACAATGACGTGGATTTTGTCCAAGTTATACAAGAGAGAAAGGAAGAAAATTCTAATTATGAAAGATCTAAAATGAAGGAGATTTGATTTTTGAAATGTGCATTTTATATGAATATTATTAAACTTTATATTTTTATTTAAATAAAGTAAATTGGTCTTTTAAAATTAAATTTTTCTTAAAGACCCAAAGGATAAGCATTTGGATCTTATGACTTAAAATATCGCTACATAGGACCGGCCATCAAAAAAATCCTTTTATATTTATCTAATTAACTCTTAACCCTATAAATAGGATTAATTTTAGTGAAAATTAAAAGTGAGTCCCCTAGATGTACTTGTTTGGAGATAAGTCCTGCAAATAAAACTTATCAGGGGACTAAGTTCATGTTTAAAATTATATATAATGACTTAAGTCTATTTTTTTTTATCTCAAAAATACTCTTCCTTAAAACGAAGTTAAATTAATTTCATATTTTGAAAATTGTTATCCCTTAATTCAATGTCAATTAAAATATGTCAATAAAATCTCTATCATAAATTTAAAATTCAAATTCAAAGCTCTTTCTCTCTCTCTCTCTCTCTCTCTCTCTCTCTCTATATATATATATATATATATATATATATTTATATATATATATATATATTTATTTATTTATTTTATACTTTTAATGGTTTGAAGACTTTCATAAAACTCGATAAATCTTTTATTGTTTTTGCAGAAAAAGAGAGTTCGTGATAGAAGAGTTTATCAACTAATCACTTTGCCATCGAAGATTGATTCAATTTTGGACGTTTCAACTGATAAATCAGTAAACCTATATTTGTCTGAAAGCAATATTCAAAAACCCAGAGCAAATTCAACTATTTATGTGTCTTTATCTTCTTCTTTGTTTTCGAGTTCGTCATCTAAGGCAAAAAACTTCCGATTATTGTCTATAAAGAAGTCTTTCGCTCAATCTCAATCCAATTCGTTTAATCAGAAAAGACAAATTCTTGCGAATTATACAATCGTCTCTTATTTGTCAAGTTCAAATTCAGTGTTATTTTTCATTCTCGTCCCTCTTTTTTACCATCTTTTAGGGTAAACTTTGTACAATATTGTTTACATCAGCATGTTACTATGAATTTGAATAGTAAAATTCAATTTCATGTTACTATTTTTTGTATTATGTTACTGTTTTTGTTGAGTATGTTACTGTTCATGTTACTATTATTTTGAGCATGTTACTGTTTTTGTTGAGTATATTACTACTATTATTTTCTTAAGTATTAATATTTAATGTTACCGGGGGCAGAGCCAGGTTTCTCCTACAATGGGGGCAACATAAAATTCAATACGAGTGTTAACATTTATTTTTGTAAAAATAACTGCATAAAAGTGTAATTAAAAAAACACTCACGGTAAAGGCTTTTCATAAATGTCAATTAAGATCATAGGAGTAAACTTATTTCTTGAATTAAACTTTCAGTATTATCCAATTTTTTAAGAGAACGATCATTGTACATAATATTTCAAAGAGATTGATACACTCAATTCAAATCCAAATGATCATAGTTGCTAACTTTTAGCAAAAAAAAAGAGTAATAATAACATAACTCTAATTATAGTGCTAAGACAATTAAAAAAATTGCAAAAACTTTCAAAATTATAGAAATTATTTATATGTTATCTCCCATAATAGCTCTGATAGAATTTCTTATTTTTTTTAAAGCTATCCAGTCAATGTATTTGCTAAACGCTAATAGAATAAAAAACAAATTAACGAAAGATTAAATATAAAAGATAAAAGAGAGAAAAGAGTAAAGGAATACCAAAAGAAAAAAATTATGAGAAAATAATGTTTATAATCATGTATAATTATGCTAATATCTTATTGGGTTTGCACTATGTATCAATTATGTTTAATAAGAATGTGTAGTGTTTATCTATATTTGTGTCGAATCATTTATTAAAAGAGATCTAATGGGTCCATTCATTATCACCCAAATTTATTAAGATTAAACCACTCTAATTCTAAGTTAATTTTGTAACGTGTTCATGAGACACATTAAAATTGTTAGCATTATAATACTTAATTAAAATTATCCAAATAAAGAAAATTGTATGCCGCTAGCCTATGGAGATCGAGTGTGACCCAAAATAAATACAAATTCGTTGGAATTTTAATTAAATATTTGTTTCATTTGGAATCAATAGATCTAAAAGTGAGGACATAAACGGTTAGGAACATTTTCTATTTTTTTTGGATCAAATTTTACTGGAGTGAGAACAAATCTGTATTTTTAATGTTTCATTTTCGCTCTATAGTCCCCAAATACGTAGAGCAGACACATGGACCCCACTCAACATGTAAGTCTACAAAATTTGTAGAAATTCACATTTAAAATACATAAATACCCCTAACTTTTTTACAATATTGTAATGGGGTAAGATCCTAAAATTTTGAAAATACTATGTATCTCAATTTTTTTTCAAAATTACAGTGGGGGCAACTGGCCCCACTATGGCTCCACCCCTGAATATTGCTATTTTTTTTTTTGAATATTACTATTTTTTGTATTTGAATAGTATTATTTTTTACGTTTGAATTTGAGAGAAATAATTATTGTTAAGTATGTGACAATTTTTGTTAAACATGTTACTATTTGTGTTGAATATGTTAATATTTTTGTTGAACATGTTACTACTGTTATTTTTTAAAAATATTAATATTGAATGATTCAATTTTTTTTGTTTAAATGTTACTTTTTTTTTGTGTTTAAATGAGAACCTTTTTATATTTGAATGTTACTATTTTTTATTTTTAATGTTACTATATATATATATATATATATATATATATATATATATATATATATATATAGAGAGAGAGAGAGAGAGAGAGAGAGAGAGAAAGGAGAGGAAAAATTTTAATGTTAGTCAAAATCTTAACCTATATATGGATATAGATAGATATGAGAGAGAAAACATTTTAATGTTAGTCAAACTCCTAAGATTTAGGAGTTTTTAATTTTTAGTTTTATTTTACTTCTAAAGGGAAGAGATAGTATGGTAAAATTGACAAAAAATAGACTTCATAACAAATAAGTTTATTTGACAGATTTAAGTCCAAATAAGTCCATATAAGGGGACCGACCTCCAAATTTTCCTTAATTATAATGTATGGTCATTGATCTTTCGTAAAACATTTAAATCTGTTCATGAGATATAACTCATTGAATCAATTACTTCATTGTTGCTGAGAGAAAAGCGCAAGAAGAAAAAAATATTATAAATAATTATGTTTAAATTAAGATATAAATAATTACGTTTAAACTAATTAATGCATTTTTTTTTTACAAATATTAATATAGAGTAGAATTATTACAAAAAAATCCATTGAGATTAATGCAATTTTTTGTAAAAAAAATTAATATACAGTAGAATTATTACCACTTTTGGGAATAAGTTATCACTTTTTGAGACTTACTACTTTTTAAGAATAAGTTACCACTTTTTAGGATAAAATAACCATTTTTTGAGTATTTTAGATCGATCATGTTTTATCATAACCAATTTTGTTACAATTAAAACCGGTCAAATAACTGATATTGTTACCGACCTTGTGTTACAATCAATAGAATCGGTTTTGCTACGATCTTAGCAACATCATGACCAGTGTAAATGTAAAATGAGTAATTATCATCTACTCCCATACTGGATAAACATATTTTCAATTAAATCCCAAATAATTTTTGTACGTACAATTCGATTAAAATTCGAGCCGATTAATTTTTTTTTACATATTAAAATTCGTTTTTCTACAAATATTTGAGACAATTGAGTTGATTAAATTTTTTTTTTTCAAATTTTAAGTCTATTAACATGAAATTGAATGTTAATTTGATTAATTGAATGAATTTTCATGTTATTTTGATATTGATTTGATAAAATGAATCTTTATTGGATGATTTAAGATGTTAATTTGATGAATTGAATTTTATTTGGATGAATTTGAAGATAAATTTGATGAATTGAATGGTAATTTGGTGTTAATTTGATAAATTGTGTGTTAATATGATGAAATTAAATATTAATTTGATGAATTTAATATTAACTAGATGACTTTCAATGTTAATTTAATGAATTGAATATTTATTAGATGAATTAAATGTTAATTTAATAAATTAAATCTTAATTATAAATCTTAATTTCAACGTAAATAACCTATCTTTGACCAAACTAAAGAAGAGATTTTATTACATGGATCACTGTCTGTATCACAAATTATTGGCATTCCTTTTATTTCTTAAATAATTTCAGAGAAGTCACAGGAATGCTCATTTCTTTGTCATGCAAACTAGTACATTTAGATGAACCAACAAATTCTCAAGGTGGTTTAGTGGTTGAGTTTAATTTTTGATAATTCAGAGATTTCATGTTCAATTTCTTCCCACCCACCCACCCACCCCCTCTAACGACTAGCCCACCCTTATTTTCTAAGGAATATGTTTTAAGTCAGTTCAAGTCACAGTAACCAATTACAGAATTTGAAAGAGTAATCGGCACAAACCTAGAATCTAGTAGCCAAAAAAAAAAAAGATGAACCAACTGGGAACATAATATATCTATAAAACTATGCAAATGTAGTTTACATTTTCAAAACCCTAGATCCAAAATCTAGATCTAAGAAGAAAAATAGCAGATACCATATAAAAGAAACACCTATATCAGGGTTAACACTGCAAATTATTATTTTGGTGAGGCACATATGGAAGAACAATCACAGTAGTACTCATTCTCAACCTCCTTCCTGTGGAAATTCCGGTGGCAAGTGCAAGCAGCACATTGGAAAGCCGCACTTGTTCCTTCTTCCCCGGCGGGCATAAATTCGTGACAACCATCCACAGCATATCTACCAATATTAGCAGCATGGTTTTTCCTGCACTCTTTGTACATAACTCTCTTGGTCTTCTCCTCCCGGAAAGACAAAGACCCGTTGCAGACCTTCTTCTCCAGTTCTTTAGAATTCATCTCCTTCACCATTGCGCTCGAGTGCTGAGTCATGATTCTATGTATTTTGATTTCTTCAACAAATTAAAGTACTTGCAGCAGATCTTCTGTTATGCTAAAAAAGCAAGCTGTACTGGCAATGTTTATAGTAAAGAGGTAGGGATATAATTCATTTCTCGCCTCCATTGGTAGCTTTTATATAAATGCCTGAGAATGAAAGGTATTCTAGTTGACTGCAAGTAATGCATTGCCTATATTCATGGCTATTCCTTTTCAGGTTTTTCCTTTGTCTTTTATTATAACCACCGTACTGTTAACGACAGCGGGGACAATCCATGTTAGAGTAAAGAGAGCAAATAGACAAAACAGAGATGAAAGAACTGATTTTTGTTGGCTGCTTAACACCCAAAATAGACTACTCACTGCCCATTTTTGCCTACTTTTACTCCAATACAGTCCTACATAGCAGCAACATTCTTAACATACACCAACTGCGTTTGGTTCAACATTATCTTTGTTTTGTGAAGGTTTTTCTCTTTTTAAAGTCAAGTGTTCCAATCCCTTGGGTGACAAAAAGTGTGATTGGTTAATAGGACGAACCTCAGTTGTTTAGACAAACTGTATCTAAATATCTGGTATAGGTATGAATCTATATTGAAATTCAAATTCTCTAAATAGTGTATGGGTTGAGGGATCGGTTCATACACTCAGAGTTTACCCTAGATTATACTCAGACTCACGAGTATGAGCGACATAAACCCTCCTCTGCTTACCGAGAACAATCTAAGAATTTCTCCCGTTATCTAAAAAACATTCTTAACATACAGATAACAACTATACAAACGGTCAAAACCAAATAAAAATAACATAAATGATTTTTTTTTTATTGTTAACGATGAATTTCCTTAAACTAGACTCGATATAATGGATTTTTCATTATTGAATATTAGTCATGCCCCGTGCAAAGTATGTTTTCTTTTAATTTATAGGATCAGTTGCTATAGTTAAAAAAGTTAAAATTTAAATAATTAATTATAATTAAAAAATATAAATTATCAAATCAAAACGATCTAGATTGTTATTATGTTTTTTTAATTGAAGAGCATAAACAGCTTAAATAAGAGAGTCTGTTTTATTAATATAGATTATTCACAAAACATCAATGCCATGCCGCCTCTTCAAATCAAACAAAATTCTCCTCCAGAATGATGGGCAATTAATGCATACATTAATTTCCTTATTTTGGCTGGGGAAAGGCTACGGTCCCTAAGGAGTTACCGTGCCAAAACATTTGATAGGATAGCAAAGGCGGTACCGCAGACTTTCCCGGCTGGCTGCAATGCACTTAGCCTCTGAACTACAGTGAGCTACTTCTTTGTACATGATATTAATATTGAGTAGGGATGGTAGTGGATCAGAAAAAAATAGATATTCGTTCAAATCTATCTCGTTTGGATCGGTGGATGTATATGAGAATACCCGTATAAATATGTACAAAGATGAAGGCGGGGATGGACTTACCCTGCCTGCTCTCGTTACCCGTTATATATATGTATATATATACTCCCAAACCTAATTAAACATATTTACTGTAACTATCAATTTAAAAATATGGTAATCAAACTAAAAAGTGGTATTGTTATGTGGTAATTTTATCAACTTTTTTCCCTAATTGTTATTTTCTCTATTTATACTCACTGATTGAAACTATTAGGAGTTTGGATTGACTATACTCTAAAAACATATAAAAGAGAGTAAAATAGTTTTGCATTTCATCGTGGGTAGAAATATTGTGAATGGAGGTTGTTGAGTTTCTCTGCTATAATGAACTAAGAAATTAGGAGAATTATTGAATTAGTAAATTTTAAGTTTTCATCTTTTAACATTTTATGGCTGTAATATGAATTATAATAACAAAAATTATTCTAGGAAACTTCAAGTGTAGTGCTATCGTTTTTTTAGTTTTATTTTATTTTCTTTTTCTTTCTTTTTCTCTAATAGTTTTGTTTCTCTTTTTGTAGTCCAATAACACTATAAATAGAATATTATATTATTTTGGCTTTTACATTTTGCAATCTACATTATGTTGTGTTAGATTATGTTAGAATGTTGTTGGATTATTTACAATATTGAAATTATTTAGAATTTTGGATTATGCTACTTGGGTTTGGGCTTAGGCAAATACGAGAGAAGCGGGGACGAGGACGGAGATTAGAAATTTACCCCTGGACGGTGTTAAGGAAATTCACACAAAATTCTCAAACCTGTGAGAAACAACAATGGAGAAAACACACGCCAAAGAAAAATAATCACACGCACAAAACAACATTTACATGGTTTGATAATTTGCCTACGTCCACGAAACTGCAGGAATTTCACTATTCTCAAGAACGATTACAAAAAGGGCGGCAGCCATACAAAGTCAATCAAAACCTAATCACCCAAAAAAAACAGGTTTTATATGTCTTACATCGAACTACAAACAAACAAGCCAAAAAAAATTTCTTTGAGGGGCAATCGTCCATGAGCGCTACGACTTGGGCATAACTGATGATTAGGTTGTAAAATGCTAATCTCCACCTTAAATTTTACGATTAACACTAATTGAGTAAATGTTTGCGATTCTTCCTTCCTATAGAGTTGTTTCTTGGGTACCCTTTGCAATGCAAGTCCAAATGTGTATATTTTTTCTTCTTGTCCCTTTAGGTGCATCTGATAAAATTGGAATGATACGGAGAAGATTAACATAACCCTTACACAATAATGACACGCACAAATCGAGAAATAGTTTAAATGTATATTTTTTCTTCTATTATGGTTAAAATATTAGTTGGTACACTTACCATGATTAAAATAAAAGTAGATAGATTTACTGAAGTTAAAATAGTGTGTAGATTTATTGTGGTTAAAATATAGGTAAGTGTAAATTTATTGTGGTTAAAGTGTAAATAAACAGATTAATTGTAGCTAAAATAAACGGATTTATTGATTAAGAGTGTATGAACCAACTAACGTGCATTTCGACTAATCCCCTTCTTAGTTCGATCAAAGACAGGTCATCTATGTCGAAATTAGGATATTTATAAAGGAAAAATCCAGGGACGAATCCATTAGTGAGTTATGGTAGGCTGAAACCCCAAGTAAAAAAAAAAAAAATTACCACTTTCATACAAGACTAATAGCATCAGTCTACTAAATCACTAATCATTAGCCAATTTTTCAAAGCCTTTAAGGCTTAAACCCAATAATCATGGAAAGAAAGAGTTTTTCAAGATTTTCTATTCTTATTTTGATTGGAACAGAGAAGAGATTACGTAGGGACGGAGGAACAGCTGGACCAGGGTGAGCAAGTGGCCCTCCTCAAACAAAATTTTTTTTTATTAGTAGGGTATATGCATTATATATTTATATAATATATTATGTGTGCTCTCTCGTTTATATTAGGCCTACATTATTTATTCAAAAAATTAAAAAATTTAACCCATTTAAAAAAAAAAATCTTTTGTTTTGTTGTTGTTCATGCCTTTTGATCGTGCCAAAAATTAACAGGATTTGACTCCTGCGATCTCATTGGTGAGACCCCCGACGCTCGCTAATGATGATGATGAAACGTCATTAAAGGAAATTACAGTGACGAAGGAAAGTGTACAAAGGTGGATGTTCGAAAATAATCCACCAGATGAGGTGAAGTTTATTTATGGCTCAGATCACATGGTCATGATGTCTAAGCCTCAATAATTGTTCTCCAATTTGCAGGCAATCGCTGAAAAATACATTTGTAATAAAAAAACCATGCTAACGTACATCATTTAAACAACACTCAACTTGCATATCGGTAATAATAATTCCTTAAAGCACGTTCTCACTCAAAACTGTCCATAAATACCCCTCACAAATGAGGGGAAAATGTAGGTGACAAGGGAAAAAAAGGGTGGGACTATTCTCGTTCCTTAAATTTCTTTTTACATCTCCATTCAATCATCTTACTTTAAAGTACTAAGTTCATTTCATCTATATTTCACCACATTAGTTATTAAGTTCACCCCATTGGTGTAACTGATTAGTGTAACATTGATATCTGATTATATCAAATTTTTGTATAATGGAAAAGAAAGTAAATTATCAATCATTTATGATCTCTTCGACGTATCTCTTTTGGAGTATCAATATAATAGCGTTTAAGAATGTCAACTTCGAATTGAGAGAGAGAGAGAGTAATTACGGTTTGCATACGCAGTGGAGAGAGAGAATGAGTGAGTGAGATAATAATAATAAATGTTTAAAATTCAAATGAACGATAAAATCTAATCAAATCTTCACTTATTTGATTTGAAAATAAACTATCGATCAATTATGCATTATTTAAAGGATGGTAAACAAATAATATAAATAAAAATTCATCTGAATTTTGTACCTAATAACATGATGTTTTAGTAAAAATAAACTTAACAGAGTATAGAGCTTATCAATACACTTCTTCTCAAATAAATCTAAAAAAATGTATCCCTACCCAAAAATTCCATTTTTAAAATTAGATTGAATTTCACAAATCAGACTGAAATTGGGTTCAATTCATGTCCAATCCTCATGTTTATGAATAGAATTGAAATTCAAACTCAATTTAAGTTGTTTTCGGGTTCAAAATCAATTCAATTCGAGTTCGATTCTAATTTCTAAGGTTACGCCACTTGGCTAAAATTCCGATGCAACATAAATTGAACCCAAATTAGTGAATCTAAATTGGGTCTTAAAAACCCAAAACCTTGACTCGAATACTATCCAAATCAAAATATGGGTTGGATTATGCAATCTAAAGCTAAACCTGGTACTAGAAACCTTTAAATATGAAATATTTTTCAGTTACTTAACCACAACATGCATCCCCATCTCTAGCCCAGCTCCATCAATTTCTTGGCACAGATTCTATTTTTATCTCTATCCATAAGGTATGTCAGCAAATCATATTTTAATCAGTTATCATGAAAGAAATAAGTATTTAATTGTTTATCAATCACAGTTGATCCACAAATTCCCATCTGCTGCACAATATTTCTAATAACATTGATATCTCTATTACTGCAATCATTTTACCAAAACTGCTTAGAGAACTTTTCCCCTTAAGTTCCTTGTTCACTCTTAAACCGTAAAAGATACCTTTGCTTTTTTAAAACCAACATCTTGTAGAAAAGAGAAGGGTGGCGTGGCTTTGCAGAGTGTGTCAAAAAATTTATCAGGCCAAAACTATACTCTTGCACTCTCGAAGATTAAAAACAATAACACTAGACAATAAAGAAATTGAGTGTGAATGATTAAAAATGTACAATCTTACATTCATCGATGAGGTAGAATATGGTGATCGTAAAAACAAACAAAAAAATTCAAATCAAACGCTGAGAGAAAAAGTTGGTGCAAAATCTTCCGATAAGAACTTGGAATCCTCAATGCCGGTCATACAAACCTCCATATTTGTCAACCACATCTCTGCACTTATGAACCTCTTTGTACTCAGCAGGCAGTATATTGGATTTTGCCTGAAAGACCCAGATCATAAATATAGAGAACTAAGATCCAAAATTTTAAAAGAGACAAAAGTTTATAATAGCTTTACATTCTGAACTACAGAGATTGAAAGATGCTCCAACCATAATCCATTAGTCAACTAAACTCTAGGTTAGATCACGTCTCGGTAGTCTTTCTCTTACGATCTGATGCTGAGGCAACATTAGTTTGGGCCTGACCAAAAACTGACCTGCATTTTAGTTTTGTCACAACCAATATATCAGATAGGTACTACAATAAATGAATAAGCATTTAGAAAATAATTTCACTCATTGATGATACGTCAACAAATAACTTCACTATTTGATAAAACTATATGAACTAAGCACGAGTAGGATTTGTGCTGAAGTCCACACACTGTAACCACACACTGTAAACCATCACTAATTTCTAGTCACGTATGACTCGCAAGATCATAGTTCAAATTAGAGTTTAGAGTTTTAATTTTGTGAATGTATAGTCAAAAAGCATTGAGTTGATCAATTTCCAAGCTGTTTGCCAAAGATGGTAACTCGAAGGCCAAGAAGAAAACGTTAATTATGAAAAGTTTGCCTTATCTAACAGTACTTGAGAGTAGATGTTTTCTTCCTAGAACTCCGTCTTATCAACACTGCTTTCTTTCCTCTTCTATATTTTCTTAGGGCAGCTGTAAGAAGAGCATAATCATACCCTCACCTGAAAAGTTCCCATGCTGGTAGTATAAAGGAAAGAAAAAGAGAAACAAAACAAAGGAAATTGATAGAGGGAGATCACGAAGACATTGATACTTCATAACTAGAAGGTTCGCATAGCCAATCTCAAACCACTTTTGAGAAGACTTGAAGTATTGCGGTTGGACTTTTCAGGATAGTTTCTTTAAAATAGAAAAGAAAAAGGAACACATGGAACTCAGATCAGTGTAAATATTGGTCTACTATACTTGTGCTACCTAATGAATGTGCATTTACAGGAAAATACTAGTAAGAGAGCTTGATGTCATCAGGACTTAAAAATCAGTAAAACCCAGTTTTGTCCAAACTAGATGCCTTCAGGTTTGAACAACCTCTAAATTTAAGCCATTGAAAACATCGACCCCTACAAAACAAGTACCCTAAAAAATAATATCAGAAAAAGAAATGGTGCTCACCCACAGGTTGAACATTTCTTGTGATGCTTACAGAAAATGGATAAACAAACAGAGCATATGTAGCCCATGTCAATTGTATTTTTGTGGCAAAAGCACCTGCATATGTCAGGATTTTGATAATGTTAATTGCAATAGATGATAAACATTAAAGGAAATAAAGAACTATCAGGAATGAGTGCATGAATAAAAGTGAAGCAACAAAAGCTTCTCCTTGTACAAGTTTGCAATCACTGTGAAGAGATTGCAAAGCAACAATTCAGATGCTACTTGTTTACAAACCATAGATGTTTGAAGGGTACAATGAATCACTTGATCCAAACAATAGCTAATATAATCAAACTTGAGATACTAAGCTGAGAAACGACCAAACCATAGCTGTGGTTCAGAAAATATTAGCCCAGACACACGGACGGAACCAGGAACTTCTCGTGAGAGGGGCCAAACAAAAATAATTACACAACTAAAATTTATGCAACCGGATTATCAAATAAGTTATCATTAATGACAAATTTACATTTATAGACCATATAAAATCAACTTCTATTTGATACAATTGCAAAAAAATAGTTTGGACATAAAATTCAAATATTTAAAATTCAAATCTTATTTAGCAACATAAAATTAATTTATGACAATGTCATAGTTCACTTATTCCCTCGTTCACACATAATGCAATGTCTACAAATAAACTATCGGAAATATTATTTTCAAATGATACTATCATAAACATTAATTGACAATGTATTATTATAATATATGTAATTTATATAAACCAAATAACTTTCTTTCATTTTTTCTTTGGTCACATACTCATACAAACATGTGTCTTAAGGAGAAACACTAATTCATGTAATTAATACATTCAATTTGTTATCAAAGGCAACAAGGATTTTTTAATACAGTAATTAAATTACGCACCTATATAATTTTTTAAAAAACTTTAGGATGAATATAGGATATTAGAAAACTTAAGGGTTATATAGGGTATTTTGAAAAATTGAGGGGAGCCATGGTCCCCTTGGCCATAAGGTAGATCCGTCAATGCAAAGACACATCACCAGCATACCTAGCATTTCTTAAAGAGAGGAGCATCCTAAGAAGTGTCGTCTTCTCAATGGAATCTGAGTTTTGCTCTCCTTGTGCCAAGTGGAAAGTGATTATAACGACTCACTGACTCCTTTATAGCAAGTATCATGTTACAACCTTGTACTTGCTTATCATAAAGAGTACTGGTTGATGTATACGACATTTTTTTCTTTTTTATTTCTAAGTGACATAAATGATATCATCTCACGTATGTTTTATTGATGCCATGTTTGTCCCCTATTTTTGATGAATTTGCCACCTCCATGTCTTATCCAGCAAACATAACTTGCTCCCAAAGTGTAAAAGGAGCATAGAGCAAAAAAGGCAAGAGAAAGAGAATAAGAGAGAATTCTAATACAACATTATTAAGCATCTTTTCCAGTATTTATATATGAGAAGAGTTCAGATTTATACAATCGGAAGCACACGTTTTCTGTGCGTTCTTTCTTCATAACTTCATATGTTTCATGGAACTGTCGTTAGTTTCCAGTTTGTATTCAAAACATAAATTTAGTCATTTCCATCTCATTAGGCACAACTTTAAGCTGCCTCTCCGAAAAATCTCATGACAGACTCGAGGGACCCTCAAGTATACAAGCTTTATCAAGGCTTAAGTGAGGAACATCCTCATTGTGCTCCAGCCTAGACGATCTTGCAAATTTTTACGGGAGATAATGCATATGGATCCTTTATAATTCAAGAAAACAAAAAATCCCATAAATGGAGAAAACCTCTAATCTAGATGTGTCTCTCACCTACAGGCTACAGATGGAGAAGAGAGAATTATACTACATCCCAGTTCAAGGGATGGAAGAAAATCATCAAGAAAGAACCCAAATATCACAAAATGCATACTGAAATTAAATGGCAAGACAGAGCTCCTTTGTGTCCTGGCTTAAAAGAAAATAAATAATGCAAATCAAAAATTTTCAAGATGAAACTTGACTGCCAAAAATAATGCAACAAAGAAACAATGAGCATCCATGTGGAAAGTCCACATTATTACAATGATAGAGATGCAGTTGTAACTTACGAGGCACGAAAATCCACCCCTACAGGCTTAGGAAGTTGTAAAAAGCTGCGACAATGCAAATCAGCTGCAAATACTGTCTGCACACAACCCCAGTAATCTGCATTGGTATCCACACAATGAAAACTAAAGACAGAAATAAGGCAATACATCATGCAAACTTCCACACTGTTACTTTAACCAGACAAGAAATGTACGCCGAAATTCGAATTGAAAAAAACCTTGTGTGAATAGAGATAAAAAGCTCAAAAGGTATCTCCTCAAATCATTACAAAGTGCTCATCCATGCATCTCATGTAATCTCCCTTTCTCCTTCCCCCCACCCCTTCCCCCCTCCCCTTCCAGGCCAGGATACCACTAACCCATTTGACGCAAAAAGTAAAGCATGGATACCCCTAACCCATTTGATGCAAAAAGTAAACCTAATTGCAATCTGCAAAGAGAAAGGTCAATAAACCAAGTCGAAGACCGAAAAGAAGTTGAATCAAATAATGAAATACATATTGCAGGCCAAAAATTCCCCATTCTGCATCATCTAATTGAAACCAGAAAAACCAGAGAGGATCAACCATTCAGAGAAACCCAATGTGAAATGACAACCAACCATCAAAGCCAAAGCAGCATCCTTCTCAAAGGTGGCCAAAGAGGTGAGTAACAACTCAACCCCAAGAATATCAATTTGAGAGCACCCATGGCAATTCTCGTAGAATCAACAAATGCCTAAATATTCCCCTCCATTGTCAAAGAAATCAAAGCCACCTTAGACGGAGGATAAAATCCACAACATCACCAACCTATAAAAGCAATGTCTTAAAATGCGAACCATTTTAACTACCCGGAACCAGAGCAACTGCCGAACTTCAAAGTACCCAAGTAAATTCATCCTACTCTGCAAAACTAGGAGTTTTTAAAGAAAATTGGACATCAATAGTGAAACCAATAGATCCAGACATTTTGTGTCTAATGCTTCAGTACCTAGAATTGTGCTGTTTTTTTTTTTTTTGATAAGACACAACATTTTACCGATAATCATAAAAAAAAATTTACAAGAAACAAATCAATGGTGGACAAGGAATCCACACAATGACTACAAACCACATGAAGCTCTCCAACTTGTTCTAATACAAAAGAAAGGAATATTCTCAAACTCCTTAAATGTGAAAGTCCCAAAAGAAGCCAGAAAATGTATTCTATCTCATAGTCCCTCAACTTCTTCACACTTATCCTCAAAAATCCTTGCAACCATTTCTTTCCAAATCACCCACAAAGTAGCAAAAAAACTAAGAAAGCGTTGTACCAAATAATCTTCCATTTTTTATTTCTTCCAAACCCTACATCATTTAAACAAAACATAGAATTCATATCCCTTGGGGCGACCCAACAAAAATTCTCAAGACCAAAAAGTTTATTCCACAAATTTCATACCAAAAGGGAATGCAAAAAAAGATGATCCACACTCTCATAATCCTTTCTACACATAACACACCATTGCAGTTGAAGACAAAAATTAGGTCTCCTCTTTATTAATAGTCATCTTAGTAAGTTCATGACAGTTTAGCCGGAAACTTAAGATCCATGACAAACCATTGATAGAAGGCTAGCCACAAAACTGGGGCACCACCCAAAACATGTAGACAAGTACTGGATTGCTAAATGAGTCTTGCACAGAAGCCTTCTTGCTACCAGTGCATTATTTATGAAACGGGTGTGCTCTTTTGATCCCAATTTTAGTTTCCAAAATATTGTCTCAAGGAACAAAACAACAAGCTAGTTTTTCACATATTCAAACATTATCTACCTTAAAAATAAAGACAACAGCCAAAAACAATTGTGCCTCAATAGCACAAATTCGTGACTGACATAAAAGGAAAGATAACAAAGGCTTAATATCAAGTATGTAACCAACAGATAATGGATGTTTCTAGGTCTTTGGTGTCCTATGTACCCATATACACAATTTGTTTGAATTTCAGTCAGCAATATTCTTATCCGGAATATGACCTTTAGCTGAGACAACAAATAAAGACTAAGACTCCTGTCTGACAGTTCTTAAGCCAGATGATCACACGATAATTTTCACTGAATCACAGTAAATCACAAACAAAATCTCATCTACATGCTTCCAAAAAAAATCCATACAATGTTAGCTTAAAAAGACAGATATAGGATATCTTCCAGATAATTGGAACTGACTACAGGCTGCCTAAGTGGGAACAAGGAATTGCGATGATAAATATTGCAACTATGAATAGGTTCCCTATTGCCTATTAAGAACCTACCGATAGATATTGAAACAGCCCTTCCAATTGCTGAGGCTTCAAGTATACACCCCCGGTTATATAAGATGCCTGTGGCTCAAATACACATTACAGACGTTCAGTAATGCCAAGAAATAGCTCCTGATAAGTACATAATAAATTTAGCGGCAGTGAATTTGCCAACTAAATAGAAACATATGCTACCTGCTGCAAGAAAGCAGAATGTTGAGATCCTATAACACATGAATCTATAGGTACCTGCAGTAGGAAGCGAATCAGATATAAAACTTGGTAACTTGATTGATGTTTATGGTGACGCACAACGATTAGTAAATGAATGAAACTTGGGTAGTTTTCCATGCTTCCCAAGACAATCACGTGATTGTCATCTAATTACTAGCAAACATTTGCAAGAGAATGTAGGCACTTATATATCAATTTCACCCAAGCAACCAAGAATGAGGATTATCCATCCAGTTTACAACTGCAAAGGTACTAATAATATATCCAATCCAGAGTAATATAAGTTGAGGCCATTTTAATATTCACCCAAGAAAGAAGCATCTAACTAAAAAGCCACTTAACTCAACAAAGTCTTGTCCTAATCTTTTTGGGGTCGGCCATATGAATGTTGTTTCGCCATTGTATTCTATTAAGGGTCATATTTTTTGTTAGACCATAAGTTACCACATATTTCTTTATCATTTCATTTAAAGTTATTTTGGACTTCCTCTATCCATATGCTTACCATCAATAGTGCTATTATATCACTCTTTCTCACAAGGATCATAATATGCCTCTATAAATACGTCCAAACCACCTAAGTTGATTCTCTTTTAATTTATCTCTTATATGTGCTATCTCTACTTCTTCACAAATATAATTGTGTCTAACTCTATCCTTCTTAATTTTACCATACACCCATCTTAACATACTCATTTCCATCACATTGAATTTTTTAACGTGTTATGTTTTAGTTGCCCAATACTCAATATCATAAACACAGTTGGTTTTATGGCCGTTCTATAGAACTTTCCTTTAGCTTAAGGAGTATGTGTCTATCACACAATACATCGGATGCATTCCTCCAATTAGTCCATCTCAGTGTTTTGAAAAGCTCGCCTAGGCGAGAAGCGAGGCGAAGTGAAGTCTTCTCGCCTTGGCAAAGCGAATGTGACTAAAGCAAGGGAAAAGCGAGCTCCTTGAAATTAAGCGAAATGCAAAAAAGCAAGTGCCTTAATTAAGCGAGGCGAACTTGTGCTTTTTTTTTATTGTGGACCGTTAGATTATTTTATTTTTATTATAGACCGTTGGATTGGAACAATTGGAAAAAAAATTATAAGATGCCTATACACTCAATTACCCCCTTATCTCATAAATATAAAACCCCAAGCCCTAATTTTGCTCAGGATCAGATCAGAGTAGACCATCGACTGCTGCTCCTTCCTCTCCGATCAACTGTTGCTGCTCGTCTACTCCTTCCTCGCTAGTGACAGGTTTGTCTCCTATTTTTCTTTTCTCTTCTGGTTCTCTTCTTCTTCTTTGGTTCTCCTCTTTTTCTTTTCTCTTCCAGTTCTCTTCTTCTTCTCTGCTTTTGCTGCTGCTGCTTCTTCTTCTCTTCTAGTTCTCTTTTCTTTTTCTTCTCTGATTCTCCTCTTTTTCTTTTCTCTTCTACTCTTCTGGTTCTCAGATGGTTTGCTGCTTCTGTTTTTTTTCTCCCCTGCTTCTACTGATGTTTGTTTGTAGCATAATGCTGCTGCTGATGATTTTTTTTTTCTCTGCTGATGTCTAATTTTTTTTTCTGCTTCTGATTCTGGTTCTTCTTCTCTCTTCAGTTTTCTGTTTCTACTGCTTCTGTTTTTTTTCTCTCCTACTTCTACTGATGTTTGATAGTGGCATAACGCTGTAATTTTTTTTTCCTGCTAATGATGTCTGATTTTTTTTTCTACTTTTGATTCTGGTTCTTCTCTCTTCTGTTTTCTGTTTCTGTTGATTCTGCTTTTTTTTCCCCTGCTTCTACTGATGTCTGATAGTGGCATAATGCTATAATTTTTTTTTTTCTGCTAATGATTCTGATTTTCTTTTTCTGCTGAAGTCTGATTTTTTTTTTTTGCTAATAAATGCTGATGATTCTAATTTTTTAATGCTACTGCTTCTTTAATGTTTGTATAGCTGATGATTCTGATTTTTTGTAATGCTATTTTGCTGATAGTAATGCTAATTTTCTGTAATCATCTTTGCTGATTTTTTTTAATCCTGATGCTAAATGTTGTAATGCAATGCCGAATTATTAGTGTTTGTTTTAATTTAAATGTTTATAGTTTTACTTGCATTTACATATTTAGTATGTATATAATTAGAAGTTAGATATTTAGAAGTAATTAAACTAAAATATTTTTTTTTTTAACTGTTGCTTCGCTTCACTTCAGTAAAGCATGTCGCTTCGCTTCTCACATATTGCCTATGCGTTAAGAGCCTTGGTCGCTTCGGTTCACTTTACGCCTTAAATAATACTGATCCATCATGCTTTAATTCTATAAATAACATTGTCACTAATCTCACACTCTCTACGAATAATAGAGTTTAAATTGTTTCGGTATCCCTTGACCTTTAATTTTTAGTACTTCCCGGTTTGGACTTCGAGTCCTACTTTACTTTCCATGTATTCAATTTTTGTCCTATTTTTTTTAAATCCTTTTGATTCTAGAGCTTCTCATCGTATTTTTAGTTTATTATTAATTCCTTCTTTGCTTTCTCCAACTAATACAATATCATCTACAAATAACCCATAAACTTGGAATTAACCCATGAATATGCAAGTCAGACAATCTATAATTTTTAACATGGAAAAAACTATCAAGTAATATACACCACGAGCTGGGGAGAGAAAGACGTAGAACCTTTATTCCACCTTAGGATACATTATCATGTTGCACATTGTTCTTGAAACTAGAATGATTAAACATATTATTTCACTCTACGTATGCAAGGGTGGTAACACCATGACAACGAGGGTGGTAGTAGTGATTGCAGACGCACCAACAACCCAATGACAATGAAATGGTCACCCTGGCAAAGGTAATGATGGATGGCACCCACGGGGAAAAGACAACGAAGAATGGGGACCACAATAGGGAGTGCAAAGGTTGGTGTTGAACCTGCTTGGCCCATTTAGTGTAGAGGAGCTAATAGAGGAGAACGATCTAATCATTTTACCATAAGAACAAATGGATATTTCAAAGAACTAATGAAGTATTGGTGGCAACAATGGAGATACTAGTGCTTACGGTAGTAGTGCCGAGAATTTTTTTAAGTCCCCCTTCCTTTTTCTTTATTTAATATTTCACTCCATATTACTTGTGGGTGTTATTCACAAATCACAGTACCTCTCACATTATGAGGGGATCTAAACCCGATTCCTACAGCAAATTTCTTATACAAGAGATTATTTTAGCTGAACAATTCATTTTTCAGTAAGATAGGGAATATCAAGTACAACAATTACCAACTCTTGCACAAACGACCAATTTTTCTTCCAATAAGTAGCAGTTGGAGTTCAAAACCATTAATTTTGAGTGAAATTTATGATGGCTCTGGGGTTTAAAAAATCCCCCTTCATTTTATAGGATCACATAATGTCCTTGGGAGTCGTACAATGATTTTGCGCAAATAAGCAACCAAATATATTTTTGGAAAAAAAAAATACAATGCCCACTCTTAATTCTCTATAGCAAAAGGACCTCAAATAAAATATAGAGGGATTGCAGAAAATTGCAATGATCGCTTGTTAACAAAGCAAGACAATGGACCCAAGTGAGTTAATCTTCTAGTATATTTAAAAGAAGTGTAATAAGGGTAAGTTTGAAAATAAAAACCCTTAAGAGTCAAGTGTTACATAGTACCGTTGAACGCTGGGCAGAGAAAATTGAGTTCATGATTGCAACATATCTGCAAAAAGAAAGCCCTGTCAGGGATTATATATCACGGAAAAAAAAAATTGACTTTTACAAATATTGTCAATGATCATAAGAAACATACTGTCCGGGACCATCTGGTGATCCATGCAAACACAATATCTGCCACCATTTATCACCAACTTTGTTAGAGAATATATCCATCCAACATAATAGAGAGCCAATAACAACATTAATAGAACTAATTAATGTGAAAAAAATATATATGATGACAGGGAAAGAATTGAATCAATTCATTTAGTAACACCACAGCTCATTATGACTAGTTTTGTAACAAACCCAATTTTATTTATATGACGAAATCAACCATGTACCAGCACCACATATTCTTAACTGCTAGATGTTGAGCAAAATAAGTTCAACTAATTCACACATAATTCCTTGCACCCCAAGTTCCAAATTTCTTTAGGGGTAACAAATATCAGCAAGGGCAGTTAGCAATGAAAATTAAAATATTCACAATACTGAAGAGCAACTATTAGCTATTCAATGATATCTGCACAGATCACATAAATTCTCATTTCACCTAAATAAAACTCATTCAATGAAGGATTTACACATTTGAACTTGCTCGATATATAATCTCAAGAATAGCACTTACACTGCATAAAGTAGCAAATAGTCCACATATTTTTATGCCTGAAATGATGGAAAATAGAAACATATAACTGATACATTAAATACACATTAAGATTTGCAAAAATATTGGAGAGTTATAGTTTCAACGCTTCCTGATGTTTACTTCATGGTTAAATTAACAAAATTTCCCTACAAATGCCAGATTGATTTCTAGGTTCTAAGTATACAAAAATCCTACATATATAGACAGCCCATAATACATTGATATTAGTGAGCAACTTTACTCCCTAGGCTTACTCTTTTTTCAAAATATTGATATCCATGTGGCTGTTGACCTTCATTTAACAATTACAGAAGTTTGTAGTGTGTCACTTTTCAAAAAAAGCCAAAAAAAACTTCACACAAAGTCCCTGTTCTCTGAGGAACAAGAAACAATTTGGGGCAAGAGTATATCCGGGCTTGTGTTTATCTTTCAACAAGTTTTGCTGCTATTGAAGTAGAGAAAATAAGCATCTTATTATGATTCCTCCACCAGAAGGTACTTGTACTATTTTGCAAATTGGAGAACAAAATTAAACATTTTTTTAACAGAGTAAGATGTTCAAAACACAACTTTCTGCTATCTAAATAATAAAAAGGTTTTCATACCAATCAAATGGCTTGGACAATGAAAACGAAGTCTCAAAGCAAAATGTAAATAGGTAAGGAAGCCATGTAATTAGTTTCATGTGTGTATCTTGGATGAGCTAAATATGCAGACATTTACATGAGGACCTTAGCATCTTTTGGTGCATCTTTATTATTTCTACAGCTTTCGACTTGAACATCATCCCAAAATTTCTTTGATAAGTATCTTCCAGTCAATCTCCTTCCTTTCCTCTTACACATCTACTAAATTTCATTAATTCCAAGTTTAAAAAGTCTAAATGCAGCACCCACATATTAGCATAGTTGTTAGAGGACATGTTAGTTACTTGAAAAACTTAAACTCCCCTTCTGACACAAAGTGCAACATTGCTACAACGCAACAATTGAATCCATATGGAAAATCCTGTGAAAATTATCAACCGTCAACATATAGCTTGACAAATGAAGCTCAAACCCCCAGCAAAACTATTACAACGGATATTTATGACCACATGGAGCTAAATGTTAATACTACTTAGGCTAAAATTGTGAGGAGCAATGGATCCAATGTCACATTCCAAATGACCCTTATTAGGTCTCAACCAAATATCTACTACGTATACCAAGCATTTGATGGACTTTCTTACGTTCTAGCGTCAAACTCAACACACCATGATGAATATAACAATGAACATATGTCAAAGGAAAAATGTGAAGGTACGCAGTAAATGAAAAGTAATTGGTAATTCAATGCTGAAAAGATTAAAGCACTTGTTAGATTAAACCCAAAAAGACAAAAAACAGCCTTTGTACATTAAATGCAGAGGCCAACAGCTGAAAAGTTGTGGGTGGGATATAAAGACAACTATTGTGTGCAAGTCGTACCAAAATTTATGTCTATACCCAGCCCACCCCTCCCGATTATGACTTCAAATAAACAGAAAATACTAAGCCATCATTCCGGAAGCTAGTCCCTAAAATATTCAAAACAATAAGGCAACTAACCGAGTGGCAAGTACAATACATGAAAATAAAAAATACACGATGAGACCTTTAAACAAAACTACTTCAGCATTGCATATTTCCAAATTTAGCGAGTTAGCCAATTCCCATTGCGCAGAAGCATATAATTTTATAGAAAAACAAATAAATACTCACCCGAGGCTGTGGATGAAGCGGCCCAGAACGAAATACTTTCTGGATATCTATTCATCAAAGTAAATTTCAACAACTTCCATATCAAGCAAATATACAAAACTGAGCAATATATAAAGAATTATGGTTTTAAGGATACAACAAAGAGCCATGGAAAGAGACCCAGATAGCAAAGAAGACCAAACACCCTCAATTGAGTTCTGCTGGCTCAATTCCTCATCCCTAGTCACAAACTCCTCCAACTTCCCCAACAAACTCTCCGCCCTCTGGTTTGGCGCCGCCAATGAGGAATCATATATATAATCACAGGAATTATAGCCAGTAGCTATAACTACAACCTGGTTGAGCTGATTGAGTAGAAGAATCGAATTCAAAAACGGTAGCACCTGTGTGGATTTGCCAACAAATAACAACACCATAAAAAAACGGTGCAGATTTTGGTGAAATAAGAGAGGTTTTAGAGAGAGAGAGAGGAATTAGAGGTTTTTACGTGAGACAGGAAATTTGAGAATGTGAATGTGTTCTTGACTGTGCTCCAGAAGAAGGGGTTGGTGTCGATTAAGACCATAAGAAGACTCACATCGTCTGTAATTTCAAAGCAAACATGAAATACAAATGGTGAATGTACATATTCAGAAATGTATATTTTATATATAAGCGCATAAATTGGCAGAGACACATGCAGGACCTGCGTAGAGCTTTGATGGTACTGTAGTCATCGCTGCTTCTTGATTGTCAGACTAACCCCACGCACGAGAGAGAGAGAGAGAGGAGACAACGTTGGCACACCGTGTACCGTACACGACTCGGGTTATGCCCGCTTATTGGGCCTCGGCCCAATATCCGTCTGGACTCTGTTCAGCCGAGTGGTTTTTCTTCCGGTTTTTGTTTGATTTTGACAACAGAGCAATATTACGTGATCTAATTTGCTGACTTAATTTACTATAATTTTTGAATTAACTGTGGGTTCTATCAAATATTAAAACTTTGTGTTTATGCAATAGTTATAATAAAACCACGTCATTAGGTCAGTAAATTATGTCAAATTTTTATGTCTAAATAGCATTTTCCTCAACAATATTCTATCAATAACATTTTGGATCCAAATGGTTCCTGTGCCTCACCAATTCAAGGATCCCTATGTTCGTGAGTTCGGGTCAGGTTAAGGTTTTTTTTAAAAAAATTAGTTCTCATCAATCCCACACGTAATTAAATCTTATTACTATTTTGGTTGCTAAAATTATAATTAAATCTTATTAATTAAAAATAAACGTAAAAAAGTTACTTAAAACCTTTTCTTTTATAACTTATAGTGGAAGTTATTTAAATGGAGAGCCTCCGGGTGGTCGATAAACACATATTATTAGAATGGGATAGAAGATAATGAATATCTTTCTCCCACCCGAGCTTATAGTTAGTGGGCCAAATCTCTCTATTTTATAAGGATTTCTTTTATTCAATTTGTAAATGTCAAAAAAAAAAAGGGGGGGGGGAGATAAATGATATACAAAAATGGTGTTTGGTATGCTAATTATTACTCTCTCTCTCTCTTTCCCCCCCCCCCCCTTCCTCTTATGACTCTGAATTTATAGTCAAGCTTATACTTTTTAGATAAATTTAAGCCCTATTGGTCAGTTTACTTCTTAATCTTTTCATACTTCTTAATCCCTCAACTGTTGACTGCAACTACAATGAGAATTACACCATCAACTTGAAAAACATACAGAAAAGAAGTTGTGATCAAAAAATTGGTTGTTGGATTCATCAAGGAACGGAGGCAATTGTGAGGGGAAAAGCTATCCTTGAGCTCTGGAGGTAAGCACTACTGAAGACTTTAGAATGGTTGTTGGACCATTACCAAACCGAGAAGGTGAAGGTGCTGGAGAAAAAATGAATCTGAGCTGGCTGATGTAGGTGGAGCTACGAGTGGAGGAAATTGCAGAGTTCTTGTATCAATTCAGACACCCAAATAGATAACACATAAGATCTCAAAAAAAGGAAAATAAATGCAAATATGAATTTGATATGAACTTTCAGAACGTCATTCAATATAGAGTCTAGAGACTTGTGGAAATAGTCTTTAGCCAATAATTCATCTACAGAACGACGTTGATAGAATAGAATGTTCAATAATGAATGTAATGATCAGACGAAATGCTTCCACACCCCCATGACCATACCACATTCTCCTGATAATTTACCATAGAAGTTGGTAAGATGAGGCAGAGTCACTACTATTAGGGAAAAGTTTAAATTGTACGATGACCCCACCGCCCAAGTGAGACTTCTTGTTTCCCATATTTCCACAAATACCCTTAAATTAATAGCACTTGAACAGCAGTTATCTAGGCCTCCAATTTGAAGAGATGTGGTCAAGTTGCAAGCAAAAAGAGACAAATTGAAGAATTCAACCATCAGAACTCCCTGTAACAAAAATTATAAGAAAAGTGGGTAAAAAATTAATTATTCGTTTTAAAATATATCTTATTTGTCTATATATTTTTTGATATATACATAAATGATGTATACATTAATTTTATATATTAATACAATGATAAAATATGTATTTACTAGGTATTGTATGTGTCAGAAGGCACAGTGTAATAAAAAATAGTAAACAATAAATATATTTGTATTCATATTCAAAATCAAATCATAAACATAGAAAAAAATAAAAGAATTTAAACAACAGTTTGTAGTGGGGTGAGAGGTGGTGGGCGACAGTGGTGGTGGTAGGAGACGATGATGGTTGTGGTGGATGGCAATGACCGTGATAGCGGTGATGGTGGCGGCGACGATGGTGGTGGTGGCGACGAGAGCAGTGATGATGGTGGCGGCGACAGTAATGGTGGCGGGGTGTGGTGGTGATGGTGACGGTGGGTGGCAGTGATGGTGGTGGTGGTGGCGACAGTGATGGTAGGGGTGGTGGTGATGACAGTAGCGGTGGTGGGGATGGTGACAACAGCGCGGATGGTGGTGGTGGTGATGACAGCGGTGGTGGCGGTGATGGTGGGGACAGTGGGGGTGGCGGTGGAGGGGGCGACGATAGTGGCACTTTAATTTTAAATGATGTGAGTTTTAATTATCAAACAAACTTGATTGAAAAGGTGCACAATATTTTGAATTTTAATTGATAAGCTGAAAATTATGTACTGAATGTTGAAATTTTTAGTCTGTAAACTGTTTGGTATCCACTGAAACTTAAATACTGAATTAAATCAAATTGTTTAACAAATATAAAGTGTTAAAATCTAAAAATTATTATTATTTTAATTTTACCATTTTTTTTACCATCTCAGTGTAATTAACTTATTCTTACCACTACCATCATTACAATTTCACAATCACCAACAATTTCCTACACACATCATTGTTCTCATTGTCATTGCCCAATAATCACCACCTCACCACCACTACCACCCTTAATGTGGTGGTGAAGAGTGATAATGGTGGATAACGAAGGCAATAATTGTAATTGGTGGTTTGTGGTGGTGGGGGTGGGGGTGGTGAAATTGTATGTAGGCATTTTGAAGACAATAGTGGAGGTGAGTATACAATAGTGGTGATGAGGGTGACGGTGGGAGGTGATGGCAGGATGGTAATGTTTGTGGAGTACTAATTGTGGGTGGTGGCTAATTGGTGGACGGATGGTGGCTGATTGGTGGAAGGGTGGCAGCTAAGGGGGCGAAGGTAGGTGGTGGTAGGGTGACAATGATGGTGGTTATAGTAATAGTAGTGATGGGGGTGGTGGTTGTGGCAGTGGTGGAGGCGATAATTATGGTGACAACGATAGTGATGTTGGTGACAATGACAATGACAGCAATGATGGTGGTAAGGTGACATTGATAAGTGATAGCAGTTGTGGCAGTGGGGTACTGGCAAATATTATGGAATGGTGGTCGTGGTGAGAGCAAAAGGAGGTGGTGATAACAAGGTGGCTATGCAGTAGTGGTGGTGACAATGTTGGCAATGGTGGTGAATGATGGGTGTTAAAAGTTGTAAAATGAATTAAGATCAAATCATTTGAGAGTAAATTTATCCATTACGAGGAATTTATAAAATTTTTATTGACTAAGATTTTTATTATTAAGGGACAAGTAGATGACTTATTACTTAAAATTTTAACTATTTTTAAACAATATTTAAAATATTAAATGGGGTGAATATTAATTATCAAATACACTTAATTGAAAAAGTACTAAATGTCTTCGATTTTAATTGTTGAATTTATTAGTTATCAACCACCACCGTAGAGAAGTAAGGGAATTGGACTTCCTCTAGTTTTATATTCGGGGGCGGAATCAAGAATTAATATGAGAGTGGACACTTAAACTGAAAATTATATCTTTTTACTTTCAACCGACTAGAATAAAAGATACAAAGTAGATTTTGAAAATCATATTTAATTCCTAAAATTTTGCTAAACACAAATGGTTAAACGCCGATAAGTGTTTGGTGTAATTAAAAACAACAAAAAAAATTATAGTTACATTACTTTACATAGAAAAGAATGAGATTAATTATAACCCTTCACAATTAATCTCTTTCTAAAAAAATCAGCATAGGGTCACAATTCCCAAAGAGTCGCACTTACCATCTTGGCATTGTTGCTACTTCAATTGTTATTCCTCCTTGTTTCCATATTCTACCTCAAAGTGCCCTTGGTTTATATGATGATCTAAAAAGTTTATGTGAATAAGATGAATAAATAAAAAGAATTTACATGGATCAAGGGTGCGGATACCACTAACTAAGTATTGTTGGGTCATGAACTTGTGGGTGGACACCACCAGTGAATTAACTCATATAACATTTATCATACATGTAGAAAATAAATATATATATATTTTTTTCAGGGTGGGGCAGTGGCCCCTCTTGCCTATGACTGGCTCCCCCCATGATTATATTCCTCCAACCCCTTTAGTTGCGAAATATCATTCAAACGACTAGTTGCGTTCAAGATGTAAACAAGACATTGTTGAGAAAAGTCAAAAGATCTAATACTACTGAAGGTTCTAATTCAATAGATAGTAGAGTTTTAATGGATGTAATTTGCTAGATAGTCTATATAATAAAACAGGTTAGAGTTTGAATCTTTATCTCACATATATTTTTTCCCTCAAAACCATTACATCACCTAATTTCTATCATATGTTTAATTATTTAATATTTAATTAATTTGTAGTTTAACACAATTATTGTTTCATACATTGTTTATACACAATTTTGATGTTATTTTTAAAAAGGGTTTTGATTCCAGTGATGGACAGTGTAGGACAAACATTCACTGTCACACACTTTTTCCTTAATTTTTTTTTCTCATGGGATCATATAGTATTAATGAGTGAGGTACAGACTTGTATATAATGAATCTCACTTAAATACATGATAAATGACCTGTTAAGAATAAAATTAAAGAAAAAAAAATGTATTAAAGAGTCTCAATCTGACAATATTAGCTTGTGGCATAAAAATGCACAAGATCCATATAAGTTTTTTTTTTTTGGGATGACAAGGGAAATCCATGTCTTGTCATCGGCGAGATAGAGATGACTTGATCGCTCAAGCTCATGAGTTCAAATAGAACCAAAGACAAATTCTAGGTGCATGAATCGGTCCCTCAATTTATACATCAATCAAATCAAAACTTACATTTCAGTAAGGATTCAAACCCAAAACTTGAATACGGTTCATCCAAATAACTGAGTTTTGTCCTATCACGTTTTTTGTTACCTGAGAACTTGAACTTTTGATCTTATAAAAATAAAAT